GGGGGGTTTTGGGGTGCTACAGTGGGATTTGGGGTGCTATAGGGGGTCCTCAGGGTGCCATGGGGGGTTTTGGGGTGCTATAGGGGGTGGTATATGTACCCATGGGAATGCTCTAGGGACCTCAGGCAGGCCATAGGTGCCTTCAGGGGGGCTATAGCAGTTCTATAGGGACCCCAGGGGTGCTATAGGTGCCTCAGGTGGGCTATAGGTGCCTTCAGCGGTGCTATAGGGGTTCTATAGGTGTTTTCAGGTGTTCTATAGGCGTTCTGTGGGTGTTTTCAGAGGTGCTATAGGGAGCTCAGGTGGGCTATAGGTGCCTTCAAGGGTGCTATAGGGGTTCTGTAGGGACCTCAGGTGGGGTATAGGTGCCTTCAGGGCTGCTATAGGTGCACTAAGGGTGTGTTCAGGGGTGCTATAGCGGTTCTATAAGGACCTCAGGGCTGCTATATGTGCGCTAAGGGTGTTTTCAGGGCTGCTATAGGGGTGCTATAAGGACCCCAGGTGGGCTATAGGTGCCTTCAGGGCTGCTATAGGTGCACTAAGGGTGTTTTCAGGGCTGCTATAGGGGCGCTATAGGGACCCCAGGTGGGCTATGGGTGCCTTCAGGGCTGCTATGGGGGTTCTATAGGGACCTCAGGGCTGCTATAGGTGCACTAAGGGTGTTTTCAGGGTTGCTATAGGGGTTCTATAGGGACCCCAGGTGAGCTATAGGTGCACTAAGGGTGTTTTCAGGGCTGCTATAGGGGTTCTATAGGTGCTTTCAGGATAGGTGCACTAAGGGTGTGGGTGTTTTCAGGGGTGGTATAGGGGTTCTATAGGGACCTCAGGGCTGCTATAGGTGCCTTCAGGGCTGCTATAGGTGCACTAAGGGTGTTTTCAGGGCTGCTATAGGGACCTCAGGTGGGCTATGGGTGCCTTCAGGGGTTCTATAGGGACCTCAGGTGGGCTATAGGCACCTCAGGGCTGCTATAGGTGCACTGAAGGTGTTTTCGGGGGTGCTATAGGTGTTCTATAGGAACCTCAGGGGTGCTATAGGGACCTCAGGTGGGCTATAGGTGCCTTCAGGGGTGCTATGGGGGTTCTATAGGGACCTCAAGTGGACTATAGGTGCCTTCAGGGCTGCTATAGGTGCACTATAGGTGCTTTCAGGGGTGCTCTAGGGGTGCTCTAGGGACCTCAGGTGGACTATAGGTGCCTATAGGGGTGCTATAGGGACTTCATGTGGTCTATAGGTGCCTTCAGGGGTGCTATAGGGGTGCTATAGGGACCCCAGGTGGGCTATAGGTGCCTTCAGGGCTGCTATAGGGGTTCTATAGGGACCTCAGGTGGACTATAGGTGCCTTCAGGGCTGCTATAGGTGCACTAAAGGTGTTTTCAGGGGTGCTATAGGGGTTCTATAGGTGCCTTCAGGGCTGCTATAGGGGTTCTATAGGGACCTCAGGTGGACTATAGGTGCCTTCAGGGCTGCTATAGGTGCACTAAAGGTGTTTTCAGGGGTGCTATAGGGGTTCTATAGGTGCCTTCAGGGCTGCTATAGGGGTTCTATAGGGACCTCAGGTGGACTATAGGTGCCTTCAGGGCTGCTATAGGTGCACTAAAGGTGTTTTCAGGGGTGCTATAGGGGTTCTATAGGTGCCTTCAGGGCTGCTATAGGGGTTCTATAGGGACCTCAGGTGGACTATAGGTGCCTTCAGGGCTGCTATAGGTGCACTAAAGGTGTTTTCAGGGGTGCTATAGGGGTTCTATAGGTGCCTTCAGGGCTGCTATAGGTGTTCTATAGGGACCTCAGGTGGACTATAGGTGCCTTCAGGGCTGCTATAGGTGCACTAAAGGTGTTTTCAGGGGTGCTATAGGGGTTCTATAGGTGCCTTCAGGGCTGCTATAGGTGCACTAAGGGTGTTTTCAGGGGTGCTATAGGGGCCTCAGGTGGGCTATGGGTGCCTTCAGGGGTTCTATAGGGACCTCAGGTGGGCTATAGGTGCCTTCAGGGCTGCTATAGGTGCACTAAAGGTGCTTTCAGGGGTGCTATAGGGACCTCAGGTGGGCTATAGGTGCCTTCAGGGGTGCTATAGGGACCTCAGATGGGCTATAGGTGTCTTCAGGGGTGCTATAGGGACCCCAGAGGTGCTATAGGGACCTCAGGTGGGCTATAGGTGCTTTCAGGGCTGCTATAGGTGCGCTAAGGGTGTTTTCAGGGGTGCTATAGGGGTTCTATAGGCACCTCAGGTGGGCTATAGGTGCTTTCAGGGCTGCTATAGGGACCCCAGGGGTGCTATAGGGACCTCAGGTAGGCTATAGGTGCCTTCAGGGGTGCTATAGGTGTTCTATAGGTGCTTTCAGGACTGCTCTAGGTGCCCTAAAGGTGCCTTCAGGGCTGCTATAGGGGTTCTATAGGGACCTCATGTGGTGATGCTTTCAGGGCTGCTATAGGTGCACTAAGGGTGTTTTCAGGGCTGCTATAGGGGTTCTATAGGGACCTCAGGGCTGCTATAGGTGTGCTAAGGATGTTTTCAGGGCTGCTATAGGCGTTCTATAGTGACTGCAGGTGGGCTATAGGTGCTTTCAGGGCTGCTATAGGGGTTCTATAGGGATCTCAGGGGTGCTATAGGGACCTCAGGTGGACTATAGGTGTTTTCAGGGCTGCTATAGGGGTTCTATAGGGACCTCATGTGGTCTATAGGTGTTTTCAGGGCTGCTATAGGTGCCCTAAAGGTGCCTTCAGGGCTGCTCTAGGGGTTCTATAGGCACCTCAGGACTGCTGTAGGTGCCCTAAAGGTGCCTTCAGGGCTGCTATAGGGGTTCTGCAGGTGCAGCTCCCCCATAGGCTCCTCACACCCTCTCCCCCCGTCTCTCCTATAGGGGTGCTATAGGGACTTCATGTGGTCTATAGGTGCCTTCAGGGGTGCTATAGGGGTGCTATAGGGACCCCAGGTGGGCTATGGGTGCCTTCAGGGCTGCTATGGGGGTTCTATAGGGACCTCAGGTGGGCTATAGGTGCCTTCAGGGCTGCTATAGGTGCACTAAAGGTGCTTTCAGGGGTGCTATAGGGACCTCAGGTGGGCTATAGGTGCCTTCAGGGGTGCTATAGGGACCTCAGATGGGCTATAGGTGTCTTCAGGGGTGCTATAGGGACCCCAGAGGTGCTATAGGGACCTCAGGTGGGCTATAGGTGCTTTCAGGGCTGCTATAGGTGCGCTAAGGGTGTTTTCAGGGGTGCTATAGGGGTTCTATAGGCACCTCAGGTGGGCTATAGGTGCTTTCAGGGCTGCTATAGGGACCCCAGGGGTGCTATAGGGACCTCAGGTAGGCTATAGGTGCCTTCAGGGGTGCTATAGGTGTTCTATAGGTGCTTTCAGGACTGCTCTAGGTGCCCTAAAGGTGCCTTCAGGGCTGCTATAGGGGTTCTATAGGGACCTCAGGGGTGCTATAGGTGCCTTCAGGGCTGCTATAGGTGCCCTAAAGGTGCCTTCAGGGCTGCTATAGGGGTCCTGCAGGTGCAGCTCCCCCATAGACTCCTCACACCCTCTCTCCCCCCTTCTATAGGAACCTCAGGGGTGCTATAGGGATCTCAGGTGGGTTATAGGTGCCTTCAGGGGTTCTATAGGGACCTCAGGGGGGCTATAGGCACCTCAGGGCTGCTATAGGTGCACTGAAGGTGTTTTCGGGGGTGCTATAGGTGTTCTATAGGAACCTCAGGGGTGCTATAGGGACCTCAGGTGGGCTATAGGTGCTTTCAGGGGTGCTATAGGTGTTCCATAGGGACCTCAGGGGTGCTATAGGGACCTCAGGTGGGCTATAGGTGCTTTCAGGGGTGCTATAGGTGTTCTGTAGGGACCTCAGGTGGGCTATAGATGCTTTCAGGGCTGCTATAGGTGCACTAAGGGTGTTTTCAGGGCTGCTATAGGGGTTCTATAGGGACCTCAGGGCTGCTATAGGTGTGCTAAGGATGTTTTCAGGGCTGCTATAGGCGTTCTATAGTGACTGCAGGTGGGCTATAGGTGCTTTCAGGGCTGCTATAGGGGTTCTATAGGGATCTCAGGGGTGCTATAGGGACCTCAGGTGGACTATAGGTGTTTTCAGGGCTGCTATAGGGGTTCTATAGGGACCTCATGTGGTCTATAGGTGTTTTCAGGGCTGCTATAGGTGCCCTAAAGGTGCCTTCAGGGCTGCTCTAGGGGTTCTATAGGCACCTCAGGACTGCTGTAGGTGCCCTAAAGGTGCCTTCAGGGCTGCTATAGGGGTTCTGCAGGTGCAGCTCCCCCATAGGCTCCTCACACCCTCTCCCCCCGTCTCT